TTACTATCTGAAACAAACTTCAAAAAATATCATACCTTCAACATCCAAGTTTACTGACTACAGCTTTCCAAATTCTAAATCGTTCTTTATCGATCCTGTCACAGAGAATGAAATCTCTAATTTTATTAAAACCACCATTAGAACTGGAAAAAACTTTTGTCCTTATAGCCTTTCTACATTCCTTCTTAAACTTATTCCAGACATAATTTCTAAACCTTCTTAGTGTTATTATAAAAAACTTATTTCAAAATGGTTTATTCCCAGATGCTTTCAAAGTTGCTAATGTCATTCCAATATTTAAAAAAGGTTCTACAATGGATATGTGTAACTACCGTCCTTCTTTCAAATCTAAGCAAACTCTTTGAAAAAGCTATGTATAAGAGGTTCTATGCATTTTTGAATAAATTAAAATGCCTTTACAAACACCAGTATGGGTTTCGTGCTAATCATTCCACAACTCACTCACTTGTTAAAATTACTGAGTCTATTAGAAAAGCTCTTGAGGATAAAAACTTTGCATGTGGTGTCTTTGTAGATCTACAAAAAGCTTTTGATACATTAGATCATTCTATCCTACTCAAGAAATTAGAATATTATGGAATCAGAGGAATACCTCTTAAATGGTTTACTTCTTACCTTAACAACAGATTTCAGTTTGTCTCAGTCAATGACTCAAAATCTACTCAAAAAAATTGTTCCAACGGTGTCCCTCAAGGCTTAGTATTAGGACCACTACTTTTTCTTCTCTATATTAATGACCTTAATAACTCAATTAAGTTTCCAACTCCTTATCACTTTGCTGATGATACTAACTTTCTCATTATCAACAAATCTTTACAAAAATTAACAAATACATTAATAATGATCTTGCCAATTTAGTTCAGTGGCTTCGCTCAAATAAGATTTCTCTCAGCTGTAGCAAAACTGAACTGGTCATATTCAAATCTAATAAAACAAAAATCAATAAAAATTTAAACTTTAGATTAAGTGGCCAAAAATCATTCCTGTAAATTCTATCAAATATCTTGGAATTATAATTGATTCCAACCTATCGTTTGTGTCCCATCTTAAAGACTTAGCCATAAAGTTGAGCAGATCAAATGGAATGCTGGCAAAAGTTCGCCATTATGTCAATCTGGAAACACTATTAAATATTTATCATGCCATTTTTGGCTTATATATACGATATGCTTGTCAAATATGTGGACAATCTCAACAGCAAGCAGTTTTAAGGATATCACATCTTCTAAACAAAGCTTTAAAAATAATACATTTTCAAAATTACAAATTCAATCTTAATGTGCTTCAATCTAATGTGCTAATGTGCAATCCTAATGTGCTATCTTACTTCTAAGATCCTTAAACTATGTTGCTTTGTTCAATTCTTGAATTGCCAGTTTGTCTGGAATCACCAAAACAAAAAACTAGCTCTTACCTTCAATAATTTCTTCCCAAAAAATGCAAATAACCGTTACTATCTTCAATCAATTGATAATCTGAATCTTGTCTTAAAACATCGTTCTTTTACTTGTGGATATGTTTGTGTGTATTCATGTGACTAATACTTAATTACTATTTTTTTAATGATTATTGTAATCATTTTTATTTCTGTTATTTTATTATTATTATAATCATTTTACTTTTATCATTGTATTGTTATTATTGTTACAACTATAACTTTTATTATTATCATTATTAGTATTTTTACTCCTTCAACTTTAAATGTTTGTTTTGTTACTGCTGTGGGTGATTAATATTACTATTTGCATTAATCAATATATTTATTAGCTTTTATTTGCAAGATTTTTACTTAAGATTAGTACATTTACTATTTGTAAACTTCCGTGAATGTGACAACTATTTCAGAATTTATGAATTGATTGATTAATTGATTTTCAAAACCACAAACAAAAACTGCTGCTTCAGTAACCTGTTTTACAGCTCTTTTACAAGATTGTGAATGAAGAGAAAAGTATGAGCTCCAAAACGAATAACCAGATATTTAACAAGATCATATTTAGGGATTTAGTATGTAAACACTGTTTCAGATATTATTTCCTTCTCCCAATCTATTAGCTCTTTAATAGAACTTCTGTATTAAGCAAAATCTTTTTTGTGATTTTACATCTGTGTCTCCAAACTGCCATATTTTACTTTTGTCTTGAATAGAAATGTTCTCAATTCTTCAACAGAACTTGATAAAAGATTTAAAATCAAGGATTCCAAGTGGGCAAAGTTAGCTAAATTTTAAACGTTGTGCGCAGTAATATTTTAAACTTCACTATCTTGTCTTTCCAGCGGTTGCAACAGTGCTAGCACGTGATCTAGGTCATTTAATTTAGTTTCAACTTGATTTCAAACTACATGTGAAAATATACTTGAGTCACTCTTTTAACAGTGAAAAGAAACTTTCAAACAGTGAAAAGAAACTTTCAAAGAACTTCACTAGTAAACATGTGATCACTCAAATTAAGCGAAATGATAGCTTTGGCTGGGTGTCAAATATTTCAAAATGTTGAAATATTGCCAAATATTTGGACAAAAATTGTACCAAATTATAACAGAGAGCCGTATCTGCCGACATTGTTTTGAAAACTATTACGGGAATTTCAAGCAGTTTTCACCTGTTCTATATGTTGAAATGTTTAACTCTTTTTATTTCATTAACTTTAGGGGAACTAGTTAAACAATTATATGCCTCAATGGTAATTCATTACAATCCAGCATTCAAATGGACCAGAATAATTTCCTTCTAACTAATTGTCCGGGATTTGATAGCAAACCTCCATATTTTCCTGAACCTGTTATGGAGTTTGTAGAATCCCCTCCCACAACTTCTAAGGACTTGTAAAACTCCCTAGGAACCACCCAATTGTGCAGCTGTGGCGTAGTGGTTAGAGCGCTTGCTTTATAAGAAGGAGATCCAGTTTCAAAACGAGCTTTGGACATGTTTCACGTCACGGTAAGGAAGGAGGCGTGAACTTTCTGGTTACTGCACTTCCGCGGTGCTCTGCGACAAGACCGTTAGAACTTCTTGGAGTAACTAAATAACAAATAAATAATTGTGAAGAACAAATGCTGCTTCTTTGACTAGTTTGTTTGGTAGAATAACTTTTAGTAGGAGCGTAATGAGTAAGGTATCTTCCATTAGGCTTAAAGCTATAAGAAAAACCAAGTGTCAAATACTTCGCTTCAATAAGGTTTAACAGGAAAGATGTAACCACAGCTGAAGTTGCTACTGGCGATATATCATATCTTACAATTTTACATAATTTTTTGTAAGATATGATATATCACCAGTTTAATTACTATTTTGAATTGGATTTTTTAGAAATGATTCCTCATTGAAATCTGAATCATTCTCAAGAAAATATTCAACAGCAATGATATTTTCTATTATTTATTTTTTTTTTTTTAATTTTAATTCTTCTCCAGACTTCCAAAAATCATGTATCATTTTAAGAAAAAACAAGATTACCACTGAATTCAAAATAAAGTTTGAATCTTATTTGTATGTTTGCATACCACTGAAAACTCTATTGAGTTTTCAGGAAAAAAAAGCCATAATTACAAACACTAAGGCCGTGGCGCAGTGGTAGCGCACTTGCCTCAGAAACGTAAGATCCGTGGTTCAAACCCCACCTCTGGGCAAGTTTTGCGACACCGGTTGGGAAGGAGGCGTGAAGTGAACTTCCTATTAAATGCTCTTTCGCGGTGCTCTGTGATAAGACCGTAAGGACTTCTTGGGGCACCTAAAAAGAAAAAAAAAAAAAAAAAAGAAAAGGCTAAAACGAATTAAAATTCACCCCGAATTATAATTACAATATCATTATTACAAAGTATATTTTTCATTATAGTCATTTTGTGTGAACATTAAAAGACGTCATTTAAACAATAAAAGTATGATATAGTAGAATTTTATAGTTTAATTTCTTATTATAATGTTGTTGTTTTTTCGCTCTTCGCCCTAAATGAGAAAAATATTTTTTTTTTTTTTTAAAAAACGAAACTCGTCATCTAGAACGGTAACAGTTCTAGACAAATTAATAATAAAAAAGATTTTATTAATATTCTTGTCTTATTATTACATATAATTACAATTATTACAATTGTATACCTATCTCAATATTTTCAGCATATTTATATCAAACTCTTGAAAAAATAACCTATAGCAAACTTTACTAACATTAAATAAGCTAAAAAAATTTAAGTATTTATAATAGATTATTTAACAAAATATTTAATTTTAGACCTCACGAACATATGAGTATATCACGAAAATACCAGCGCAGTTTCTGATATATGTGTGAATCTTTACTTCAGCCTTCCGCACTGTCAAACACGAAACTCTACTTAAAAAAAAAATCAAATATTAGAATGAAACTATAAAATAGTAATTAGCTGTTAAATTAAAAGGTAACAATTATATAAATATAATTATTATGTTTTAAACATAATAGATTTCGATTATAGAACTTTTGTCTATAACATAAACAAAATAGAGTTTAATGGTCAACGATACGGAAGGCTGAAGTAAAGACTCCATATGCAAACTTTCATATATCAAATAAAAAAGTGGGTATTAGGAAATCTAAAACTACATGTTTCGTTAAGTTAATTGTTAAATTTAAAACCCTATTATAATAAAATCAAGACATCTGGCCATTTAGACAGTCAGAAATCTTGTCTTGTTTTGTATTTAAGATGAACAAAATTATGGGATTTCTTCAAAATAATAATTTTATTAAGAATAGCTGCTACAGTGTTTTTTTAGACTGCTTTTATAGCTGTTAAATATACTTTTATGCCTAAATTGTTTGGTTACCTAATAAACTGCGTTTATACATATGCTAGTTTTTGCTAATACTTATTGAACCTTTTTTTTAGTATTTGCTTTGTTAACTCGTTATTATAATAAAAACCGTTCACTTTATTTACTTATACTAGAAAAAGTTTCAGATGACATTTTTCTATTTACTTTCTATCTGGCATTAACAAAA